AACGGGGGTAGGGCACATGGGGGACGGAGAAGGGATCCATTCACACACACTTACTTGCATAAAATAACCCAGAGAGATCTCAAACCAACCACAGGAAAGATGAATCCTAAACAAGTAAATAAAGGACAAACTACAGTGATTCCAAGAACTACAAAATGAGGCATAAAGGAGAAGAAAACTTCAGTTCTTTAGGACCCCCCCCTCCAATTTCTAGAGGCTGGTGTTTTCAGCCAGTGAGTAAAAGCAGAGCTATGATTGACCAGTGAGTTGCTTGCATAAAAACGCTGAGGTGGGAGCAGCCATGTTGGCACATCTCACAGAAATCACTTTGAAAGTTACCACACATTTTGCTTTCTAATTTTCCTTCCAGGAGGGCTAGAGACTTGCTTTTCTAAAGTAAGTAGTAGAAGCAGCAGCTTAGCATCTGGAGCCCTTACAGGAATGGACTCTGGTGCAGTTGTTCCAATTGCATCATTATAATCTGACCACACACCCCAGGGAGTTTTATTTATCCCCTAGAGACCTATTTTTATAGCCCCAAATATTTAGAAGCAACCATTTGCTGGCAGCCCTCTTATGAAATATGTAAATGCAATGGATTTTTCTTTTCTTTTCGTGAGCACAAGGAATTTAATCATCCCTTAGAATGACTCCAACTAAAGGTGTTTTTCCAGGAATAAATGTGGCTAAGTGTATTGGAAAATGTACTGTTTTGCTAAATCAGTTTAAATGGATTTGGCAGGAAAGGGCCACTTGTCTGAATAACATGTATTTTTTGTTAAGGGTATTCAGTCTCTATTCATTCATAGCCTAATTTTCTTGTTAGCTCCAGGAGGTCTTAAGCACGTTTGCATAATTCTCACTGTGAGCTTGTGTCCAGTTAATTTAAATCACATTAAAACTCATTATTGTTTTCTTCCGGTCTCATTGAAATTATGTTCTAAGGTTTTAGCTTTTAAACTGTGACAATGCAACTCCAATCCGTTAGCCTTTCAGCTGGCTTCCTACTCAACATTACAGCCTGCAGAGAGTTGAAAGCGTCACCTAGTCACATCATTTAGTGGGAAATGAGATCGCTGCTTTCTAATGATGATTTCATTTGCATTGCAAAACTTTGCCTCCATTTTAATCTACAGCTTTGGAAAGAAGTCTTGGAACACCCCCCCCATGATTTTTTTATTATAAAAAACCCCTACATATGGGTGTCTCTATCAAAACCAGTATAGCACAACTTAGCATATTCCCCACTCTGTTGATTATAACAAAATGGACTATATAACAACTGGACAATCTGGGCACCAGGACCAGGGGGCCCTGGGTGCTCCAGCCCCCACAAAATTCCCCCTGAGGGGGCTGGGCACCCACAAATTTTGGTGGCAGGCACCCAAAGGGAATGTTCATCAGTAGGCAACATATGCTAAATATTAGGCCCATAAAGGTGCTCTTCAGAATGTATCATCTCCTCCTTGCATTATAAGATTTGTGATATTTTATATTATCTATATCTATCATTTATCTGTCTATCTATCATCTATGTATCTATCATCTATCTATCATCTGCCCTGTGGCTTGTGCAAAAGGCAGTATAAAAATAATCTAAACAAACAAACAAACAAACACAATTACAAAATGTGAGGAAGCCCCCAGAGACCTTGTTTCCAAGGAACCTGAATCCAGGTGAGCACAATAACCCATCTACTCAGAGACTGTGGACACACATAACACTATTTTTCAGCTGGCAGATGTTGAGACTGAGGAATGACTTCCCCAAGCAAACATATGGATCCAAGTCAGATCAATCAATTCAAACAGGGGGAGATACACAGTAGTACCCAGATGGCGAGAAAGGCAGAGGGATGGAACACCAGAGAGAGACAAGAGAGCGAGAGAGAGAAAATGTATACAGGCAAACCACCTACACAGTTAGGCAGGGCAAAGAAGGAACTCACAAAAACCAGCACTAGTCCCAGATACTCCACCAGCTATCAGTGGTTACAACCTGCTGCTGCTATGCTATCAAGTGGCATGGCTTAGCCAGGGAGAAGGATGCAAGAGTTAAGGACCAGTAGGTGGCTGGTTACATGAGGGCTACCTCCCACTGCCTCTTGCCTTAATTTCACTTATTGAGCCGGTTGTAATGAAGTCGATGCAGAAGACCATGACCAATCGTAGTGTTCCTGGACAGCTGCCACCATCACATCCCAGGCTGAGCTAAGTGGTCCAGGATGCTGCCTGTCCTCCTCCTTTTCTTCCTGTCACATCCGTGCCACACACAGATGTGCCCACGCCACAGTGGGATGGAGGCTGGGAATAGGTAACTTAGTCAACTGTTTGCTGTTGTTTGGATGGGAAAAGCAGCTGCTTTAAAACTTGTACACATTGCCTGGATGTGCTGGATGACTTAATGAAATGGCTAGGACACATGAAATACACCCATACACAAAATAAATAGATTTATTTGAATGGTAATTGAGCAGCGGAGAGGAGGCCAGAGGCAGTAACAAATGGCTCTCCTCCATTGAGAGCCCTTGCTCTTGTCTGGCTGTTAAGTCAAGACATACCATAACTGACTCTATGGACACCCATGATCTAACAGTTTGAGATGGATAAGTAAATAACAGGGAGTTTAGATTTTGTAGCATCCAATTGTAACAACATATTTGCATTTGCAGTCTCTTATTCAGATAAGGATTACAGATGTAATGAGATCCGATAGGTCAGTTGAGTAACGCCTCAGATGGCAACTGCTTTTTGGTCCTTGGGGGCTCTTGAACTCTGGTTTCGGTTAGTCATGTCTCAGATAAATATGCCTCCATCACCATCTGATGTGCCACTGTAGCTTAAGTGCTGGCTGAGTAATCAGTGCCTGCAACTACTGCCATGCTATATCACACTACTTCCAGACTAGTGACACGTTTCTAAGATTTCCACTATAACCAGTATTGCTTCAGCATGCCGGTTTGCCCCTGAACAGTAACGTTACTTCAGGGCCGCTGTCCTACACAAGCAAAACCATGTCATTAATTTGTGCCCATTTTTACTTCAGCTCTAGAGAAAGGCTTGTAATAGCCTCTTAGTATCATCCTTCCTCCTGGGCTCCATTGCCGACATATGTCATTGTAGGAGCTTGGTGCATCGAGTACAGATTGTCTACTACAGTGTTAATTGCAGTTCTCTTACTGTATCTGCCTTATACTGAAAACAAGGGTAGTGTATACTTTGCATGGGAAGTAGCGTTCAAAATGAGGAGGAATATGCATCTCTGATTAACAGATTATGTTGTTGTTCTTATTATGATATATTTATCTATACCCCTCCTCAGGGACTCAGGGCAGTTTAGAGATAAAAATAAGAACTGCTAAAAACATTAAAAAAAAAACCAACCATTAAAAACAATTAAACAATTGGTAGAATTAAAAGCCTATAGATATATAAAATCTATTAAAACCACACAAACAATTACAATAAAAAAGTAGAAAGCAAGCCCAGTTTCAGTTTGGGGGATTAGAGTGAGTGATAATCTGAATTTGTCACTCCAGACTGGTATTCCATGGCAGAGGGGGGCAGAAATCTGAATGTGAAGAGCCGTATTACATGAGAATTATACATAACATTAGAACAGCTGCGTACAATTGTTTCCATCCCATTTTATGTATAATAGCTATCTCCCCCACTCACAAAGGAAGCAAATACTTATTTCCCTCTAATACAGTTGTTATCCCTTGGGGATATAAAAAGAGATTGGATGTTTGGGAAAGGGATGATCACCCCTTATATCATCTTTTGACAATATATTAAAAAGGAAGCAAAAAAAGAGCACAAACGTCTTCATCATGTACAAGCAACAAATCCTCCCCATTAGCAGAGCCCTGGAAAAAAGGAGAGGACTAAACGGTTTGTCGCTGGAGGTGCTTGAAATTCTATGCACAATGTTTTCCCCTCTGTGCTTCCCTGATTGTATCATTTTAGCAAACAAATGGCTTGTGTTGTATGTTTTACAAGAAATGATGGTCTGATCTCAGAGGAGCTCAAACAGTCCTTGAATTTATACTTGCTTTAACTGTGAGGTGAGGTGAGACTCACTATGGAAAACAACACTTTCGGGATGTCTTCACTCGCTCTCACTAATTAGTATTTGCAGGGGGGCAAGTGTGAATGAAGAGAACCTTGGAATAGATTGCTGTCTTAAAAAACAAATAGTGACTGAGTAGTCTGCCCCAGGTCAAAGCATGTGGAAGAAACCTCCTCTGAACTCCTTTCAGTTAGTAAAGAGGCTTGATGCAGGGTTGGAGAACCTCCCATCCCACTCTGTCTGCTGGACAGAAGTCATGGGTATGTCCTCAGTGCAATGAACTCTTGCAGCTCACAGAATGAGCTTATTCCCTTGAGGCTTGATTGCAGAAAGCTGAAAGGCGGATGAGGCCTTCAGGGACATGTCCCTGCAAATGTAGCACATGTTACCTGCTGTGTAGATAGCTTGGAAGTCAGAGCTGGTAAGAAGTCAGTAGCCATTTCCCCAATGGCATGGAGAAATTAAGCCTGGGAGGGATTGAGCCTGGGAGCTTTTAATTATGTTCTACCACTGAGCTACGGTAGATTCTACTCTATAGAATCTTAGCAAGAAAATTTTGCTACCACTCCCTGTAGTTTTGAGTCTCGTACAAAGGGAGTTGGTGAGGGACGTGAGACCCAGAAACATGTGGAGGGGAAGTTCAAGTGAAAGAAGCTCATGACATATTTGGTAATATGGCACAATAGGAACTCACTTGGAGCAAAAGACAGAAATAAACCCCCCAGGGCCACTAACCTCTTTGGAAATACATTTTGTGTATATGGAAGACAACATAGGACATTCATCTTGATTAATTGGGAAAATGGATTGTGCTCAGAACAGAGTGGGAATGCACAATGTGCAACTTGTCCATAGAATTTTAATATTCTTGAGTTGGAAGGGACCATGAGGGTAATTTAGTCCAACTTCCTGCAATGCAGGAATCTTTTGTACAATGTGGGGCTCAAACCCATGACCCTGAGATTAAAAGTCTTATGCTCTGCTGACTGAGCTATCTGACTTTAATCTAACTGTTGTCTCGCTTGTCTTTTTCTGTTCCAGTATTGTGAATTCAACCTGATCAAGATATCTGCATTTCCCTGTCATTAAAGTTAATTGGCACACATTTGAATGGAAGTAGTGGGTTTGTCCCAGTACCTTGCTATACAACGTAAATAAAATAAAAAAGCAATAGGATTCAGTGAGTCACAAGAGGGGGATCTTGTCCTTTGCTTCTTTGTCAGCTGATAAAGCTAGTTTCTGGATTCATTTTATGCACTCCAAATAAAACACTTCTCTGCCATTCAGATGCTGAAGTAAATAACGTAGCAACTTTTGACCTCCAAGATGAAAACTCATTTTGTCCTAATGTGAGCACCTCATTTCTGAAAGAAGCGAGTGAGCCTTGAACAATCCGACTTTTCAAGTGTCATTCCATGTCTTGCTGCTTATTTACAGAAGTGGTTTTAGCTTTTACTGGCAAAAAGAAAGTGAGGGCAAAAAAATGGAGCGAGTGAGAAAAAAGCACCCTAAAACAATAAACGAATTGCAGAGGATGCTTTTTTGGGGTACTTCTGGGGAAGCCTGAATGGGATAACTTGTGTGCATTGAACATTTAGCTGATGGCTTCAAATTACTTGCACTGGAAAATACACAAACCGGCTCTATAAATTGATGCAATAACATTTTCCCCCATATAAAAGCGATCTCTCTTTGTTTTCATTTTTCAATCTCAATGTAGTTCAGGCCTATGATCATGTATTCTCGGTGAGGGGGAAATCTAGATACTGAAATTCAGGAGCAAAACAAACACACAAAGGTCAATAGTCCATCTAATGCCATGCAGTCTATTCTGAATGCCTTGAAACAGGTAGGGCTACAGTTCTAACTAAATAAATACATCATACAAAAAAGTAATACTTTGCATTAGCTCCAGGAAAAAGCACAACTGTAAGAAGACTATACTGCATCTGACTGGAGACTCTGGAATGCCCTCCCCTATGAAATGAGGTTGCTTTTTGCCTCATGGCATTCCAAGAAAGTTCTAAGACCCATTCAGAAGGTGCATCTGATGGCTTATCTTCTCATCTGCTGTGTTGAGGCTTGGGTTATTTTAACTGTTTTTTATATGCACTTTGAAAACGTATTGCTTTTATGTTGTTAGTTTTGTGTTGCATTATGTGATTTTTCTGTTTGACTTTATGAAGGGTCTTAGAAAGATGGAATAAATATGCTTGGCGTAAATGTGCTTGGAATAAATAAACAGATAAACGAGTGTTAATTGTTCAATATCCCTTATTGTCGTTATACCAAGCAGTTCAGGGGGCAATTTTATCCTGACAACAGTCCAGTAAGGCATGTTGATTTAAGAGACAGGAATTTGCCCCTGAGCATCCATGGAACTTCATTACCTGACTAGGTATTTGAATCCACATATCTCCAGTTAAGATACCTGTATGGTAGAACTATTTGAGTTTGTGGGTGCTAGACCACTGTGATTGCTGAACTGAGCAAGTGCCAGAATTTAATCAATGCTTGAAGTGTTAAAACTGGGAAATAGCCAGACCCATGTGTATTAGATTCATGTGTGTTGAGCCAGATACGTGTGTGTGCTGGGTTGTGTGTTACACAATGCTAATCCTCTGGAATCAGCATGTGTTAAGGGCTAATTAAGTAGGTCTGGCCTCCTGTGTCAGGTGATAGCCAGGGGATGGGACATTAAGAATAACATCAAAGGGAACTCCATGTGAAACAGCAAAGGAGTGATGCTCCTTTCACTCTATAGATAACGCCAAAGATTAGAGAATTTGGGGGGGGGGTTATGTGGCAGAGAAGCAGAGAGCAGGAGTGGAGCCATGGCTGATGTCTGAATCAAAGGCTGTGGCCTATGGAGGAGGCAAGACCCTCTTGGAGTATAATGCTGGGAACCCCTTCAGCTCAAGTTGTATATATGAGTAAATAAACCATACATCACAAGGACACCACACCACTGTGCCTCTTTTCCAAAAGAAAACACGGATCCTAGGTAAGTGCACTTAGAATGCTTGGAATCTCGCATAGCTTGGATAATGGGCTGGCATGTAACACTGTCCTCATACAGAGAAAACAGAGTTCCCAGTTACCTCCCGTATGAAATGCACTGTCAAGGAGCTGTCAGGCAAGTGCAGGTCATCCACAGGGCAGCAAAGAACATGAGGCATGAAATGCAATTAGCTTTTGTTCACAGAAAGTAACAACACTGTAGAGTTCCATTGCTGAAACAGACCACTGGCCATGCTTACCCCCTCTAGCCTCCCACTCTGGATCCCTTCCAAGCAGAGGGAGACTGCGATGAGGGGGTGGGCTCCTCCTCTGAGTCTGCCTTGCCCGTTGCACAGCAACGTGCAGGACTCTCGAGTGGGACATCAGGTGGGGAGGAGAGCCAGCAGGACTGGGACTGTCCAGCTGCTAGGTAGCCGGGGCAATCTCGGAGTCCTCTATGTCTGAGTCCGTGGCAACACTGAGACACTCAGCCTTCAGCCCTGTCCTGGAAGAGCCTTCTCTTTCTGACCCCACTTGATTGCTTAAGCTTTCTGCTTCAAGCACCTCCCAGCTTGGCCTTTCCCCAGACTGCTCTCCAGTGTCCCACCACCATGATCTAAGTTGTTTTCTGTGTCATCCCTGGGGGCCTCTAGGGCAGGCAGCCTCAACCACTCTTCCTCATACAGCCAGTCCCTGACATCCACTCACCTTCTTGGTGATATTTTGCACCACTTTGTTAGCATGGATTTTAGGGAGAAGGAGGAATCAATCCTCATTGTTGAGGCAACTGACTGATGTGACACCTATCATGCCATGCAATGCAAACTGGAGCAGAATGTGGATAGGAGTAAACTAGTCATGTATAATTCTATGCAGCTGGAGCTGGAAGGAGGTGGAAATCTTGTTTGGCTATACCGGTGGGCAATGCAAATGTTGGCATGCTATCACAAGGGCCACCCATTACATGCTTGTCATGCAATTTTGTTTACAACCCCTCCTGCTAATCTATCTGTACCCTATTTGGAATTATTTGGATGAAAATAAACACACTGACTGATGAAACTGCCATACACCATGGCCCTGGCTTTGATTTTGTCAACTGCCCGACACACATAAAACATCTGGACAAACAATACAAATGATTTTATAATACGGTGCACACTGCCTGCACAGTTAGCTGGGGGACTATGTGATGTGGTGCTAAATGGGGCATAGTACAATGCTACTTGCAAGAAAGTAATGTGTGATCAAAATTGATTAGCCGGAAACTGTGGATATTAAAAGAGATTGTTGCACCCAGTCACTGGTAGCCCAAAAATATTTCTGTGGACATGTTTATGCTGAAAATGGGAATACTAAAAGTATGGAAAAGAAAGGAAAAAAAAACAAGAGAGATGAAATACAGTGGTACCTCGGGTTACAGATGCTTCAGGTTACAGACGCTTCAGGTTACAGACTCTGCTAACCCAGAAATAGTACCTCGGGTTAAGAACTTTGCTTCAGGATGCGAACAGAAATTGTGCTCTGGCGGTGCGGCGGCAGCGGGAGGCCCCATTAGCTAAAGTGGTGCTTCAGGTTAAGAACAGTTTCAGTTTAAGAATGGACCTCCAGAACGAATTAAGTTCTTAACCTGAGGTACCACTGTACAGCTAATTATTTTTTAAAAAATGTTCTTTTTAATGACCTTAGAAGTCAGCTGACCTGTGTCACTTGTTTTGTTCATGATGTGAGCTTTTTGTCTTCACTATTTCTTCTGCAAAACTAGGCTTCCGATTTCTTCCTTGGGGCAGAGGTCATCCTTGTGCCATGTGTCTGTGCCGTCTGAATAGCACCGTGATGCCTCAGGATGTAACTGCAAGTGTATAAACTTACAAACATTAAGATCTAAAATACAGTTTACTTTTGGTGTGGTGGGTTCTTCCTCACTGGAAAAGCAGAAGGTGGAGGAGTATCTATCAGGGATCTTCCTTCACTGCAGATCTTGCATCAAGGAAGAGGGATGAAGAAAATGACCTCCAAGGTCCTTTGGAGTAGCATTATGAAACCCTAGTCAATATTTTGTGAGATGCCTACAATTTATTTAGATTTTATATCCAGAACCAGAGCATTTGCCCTTCAGAAGTCTATCAGCATCTAAAATTGGTGGAAATGAGGGTGTGCAGAGTGGTAAGATGGATCATCACTTCCTCTCTGAAACCATCTATAAGGCAGGAATGGTATTTGACAACCTTCTTTTCCTGCTAAATTGTGTGCCTTTCTGAGGCACATAGCTCATTCAGTATAGACAGTGGGGACCATAGAGCAGGGACCATGTTGAATAACCTAAAAGCAGTAATGCTTGAAGGAGGATAGGTGGGTGCAGAATTACTTGGTATATCCCATGGTCTCTGCTCCTATGCTGAGTAACATGGAAGCATTAATGCTAGGAGAGAGAGAGAGAGAGAGAGAGAGAGAGAGAGAGAGAGAGAGAGAGAGAGAGAGAGCTATACGTATTCTCTCATCTAATGGAGCATATTTGTGATCATCATTTTCTTTGCCAAAGTTTCTTTGTGCCAAAATATATGCCTCCCCCTCTTTCTTTTTTTTTAGTTGTGAACAAAACAAAATCAAATCACACTCTAATACCTCCTTCAGCATTAAAGTGCCATTAGCTACTTCCCTTGGCAAATTTTTCTGGGTTGTTTTCCTCTCCAAATTTCCTGACTGATGTGAAGGCTCATGAAGTGCCATATTAAGATGTTTCATCATGCATTCAAATATGTGTACCTAATCTGACCTATACAACTTGAAATGCTACATCTTTCGTATAAGGCATCAAGCAGTAAAATCAACACAGCGGGAGACCTGGAGATAGAAATACATTAAGAAATAGTTTTGTGTGCACGCAGAGCTTCAAAAACCATATGGAATATTCCATAAAAAGTAATTCTGCATGTCCTGATAAAAGGTGTGTCTGCCTTCTTGACAAAAAACCCCTAAAAAAGACTGCCCTGTTTGAAG